ATATAAATAAATGTGTTCAAATGAATACATGACACAGAAGCGGACCCAACATCGGATTCACTGAGATCACTCTCTGCATCGCTGGCATCTGCCTCTGTAGCAGGAGGGGGGCCTGTCATGCAAGGAAAGAAACATAGACTTAATTGATGGTACGCATTCACAACAACACATTGCCTGGAAGAGATATATCTGCAATCTCATAGATCAAACGGATCCTTTTGTCTTGGGGATAATGACCACGCCTGAGATCTAATTTTAACATCATGCCGAAAATATTCAGGCAACAAGTCACAGTACTGAATACATGGATATCATGGTTCATTTTTGCAGCAAAAGCACTTGGCCATTCTGGAGAAGGCATACACTAGCTTTGACATGGCTTTTGCATGAAACTTGGCGCGAAGACCTGGTTGATGATCAAGTGATTGGATCCAACCCTTGCCACAAATCACATGCGACAACACATTGGTCAATGTATGCAACCATGTCACAGCAAACCTCATGCTTTCGCGGCAGACAAAGGTGGAAGAAGCTAGTCACTGCTTGCAGCAACACAGGAAGTGAAGGTCTGAGACCAACATGCTTGACAGCATGCCCAATCTGCTCCGCATTCTCTTTGAGCACCCCTGCAGAAGATTCAACAATGATTCAACATACATGCAGCATGCATGCATTTGATAGTCCAACGTTGTGCAAATGCACATCATGTTTATAAATCAGCAAGGCTTGCAAACAAGTAACCTCTCGTGATCTTCTCTTTGTTCTTCAATCTTGCCACACAGTGGCTTACAGCCAACCTTTCAATAGCTGGCTCATTTGCCCATGCTGCGGCCAGTACTTGGGATTGTTCAAACACCACCATTTGTACAAGATCCAACTGAAGAGTGACACAAACCCAAATGGCTTCAGCAACACATGCATGAACATCAAATGTTCACAGCATTGGTAACAGCACAGAAAGACACGGGCTGTTACTGGTGGGTGGCGCACTGTCCATGAAAACACCTGAGTCCAAACAAGAACAACATAAAAACATGCATATTGCATATTCTCACAACCTCAAAGCAACATGCCAAGAAGATCCATGCATTTCAACCACAAGGAACCATGCAAGACACTTTTCAACATGCAAGAGCAATTGCGGTCAAGACAATCCAGTGAGCACATCACTGATCAGATGCATCTGAAAACAGCATCTTTAATTACAAATTTGCAAGCCAAGGCCTTGAATACATCTTAAATCCACACAGCCTGTCCAAGTTCACTACAAGCATTCACACATGTTCTCCATGCATAAAAGCTTCGCTCCCATTGACGCTTCGGGACATCAGTACGAGGAGTGCCAGGCAAGCTTTCATCAAGCCATCTTTGCCGCAGGTACACTTGGTATGCATCTTTTTCACGATACACCTTCAACAAACGTTCCCGCTTCTCAATGCAAAGTTGCGATTGCGACATGGCTTTGGCTGACATGGCATACAAGTCTTGGACAAAAAAATGCTGTGCAACCATGCATGGATTGGTCCATCAACCTGCATGCACACATCAGAATCCAAAGTTGCCACATGTTGCAACTGAGCTCCCCACCAGGTGCTACATGGGTCCACTACCCATGCAAGCTGTGAGCAAATCTTGCAAAAGGAGCTGGCAATCTACACTAACTGTGCCAAACGAGACATACTCATCAATCCAGGAGAAAACCTAACAAAAACAAAAATGTGCTCGAGGATGAGGGATTTTCAAAAATCCGCTCGACCTTCAAAAAAGTGTATCAAACCCCCCTGTTGGTACACATTTATCTGTACCACTGGGCGGTCTAGGGAATTTAATTAGCGTCTAAATTTCAGCAGAATTGGAAATTTAATCAAGAAAACTGGATCGGCCTGATCGGCCTGATCGGCTTGATCGGCTTGATCGGCCTGATCGGCTTGATCGGCTTGATCGGCCTGATCGGCTTGATCGGCCTGATCGGCTTGATCGACCTGATCCGCTTGATCGGCCTGATCGGCTGGATCGGGCCCATCGGCTTGATCGGCTTGATCGGCCTGATCGGCTGGATCGGCTTGATCGGCCTGATCGGCTTTGATCGGCTTGATCGACCTGATCGGCCTGATCGGCTTGATCGGCCTGATCGGCCAGATCGGCTTGATCGGCTTGATCGGCCTGAGCGGCCAGATCGGCTTGATCGGCCTGAGCGGCCAGATCGGCTTGATCGGCTTGGTCGGCTTGATCTGCGTGATCGGCTTGATCGGCTTGATCGGCCTGATCGGCTTGATCGGCTTTATCTGCCTGATCGGCCTACTGATCGGCCTGATCGGCCTAATCGGCTTGATCGGCCTGATCGGCGTGATCGGCTTGATCGGCGTGATCGGCTGGGTCGGCCTGATCGGCCTGATCGGTGATCGGCCGGATCGGCCTGATCGGCTTGATCGGCCTGATCGGCCTGATGCGCCTGATCGGCCAGATCGGGCGGAGGATCGGCCTGATCATCGGCTTGGTCGGCCTAATCGGCTTGATCGGCCTGATCGGCCAGATCGGGCTGATCGGCCTGATCATCGGCTGGATCGGCTTGATCGGCTGGGTCGGCCTGATCGGCCTGATGCCTGATCGGCTTGATCGGCCTGATCGGCCTGATCGGCTTGATCGGCCTGATCGGCCAGAGCGGCCAGATCGGTTTGATCGGCTTGATCGGCCTGATCCGCTTGATCGGCCTGATCGGCTTGATCGGCTTGATCGGCTTGATCGGCTTGATCGGCCTGATCGGCTTGATCGGCTTGATCGGCTTGATCGGCTGGGTCGGCCTGATCGGCCTAGCTGATCGGCTTGATCGGCCTGATCGGCTGGGTCGGCCTGATCGGCCTGATGCCTGATCGGCTTGATCGGCCTGATCGGCTTGATCGGCCTGATCGGCCTGATCGGCTGGATCGGCTTGATCGGCTGGGTCGGCCTGATCGGCCTGATGCCTGATCGGCTTGATCGGCCTGATCGGCCTGATCGGCTTGATCGGCCTGATCGGCCAGAGCGGCCAGATCGGTTTGATCGGCTTGATCGGCCTGATCGGCTGGATCGGGCTGATCGGCTTGATCGGCCATGATCGGCTTGATCGGCTTGATCGGCTTGATCGGCCTGCTCGGCCGGATCGGCGTGATCGGCTTGATCGGCCGGATCGGCCTGATCGGCCTGATCGGCTTGATCGGCTTGATCGGCTTGATCGGCCTGAGCGGCCAGATCGGCTTGATTGGCCTGGTCGGCTTGATCGGCTGGATCGGCTGGATCGGCCTGATACTGTCTTCTTGAGTCCCCAATGACGCTGTGTCCATTCAGCGGCGTCATTGCGACCATTTAGCGTCGTCATTGCGACCATTTAGCGGCTACGTTGTTTTCTTCGCTTATATTACTTATATAAATGCGCCTGCTGCATGGCCCCTAAGTGTTGAACATACGGGCCCCCCCCCCTCCCCCCCCCCGTGGGTTCACCTCCCCCCTCGGACGCCTCTGGGACACCTCTCGGGCATCTCTTATGGCATCCACTTTGGCTTAACTCCTCCGGGATACGGTGCAACAGATTCAACAAGCTCACATGTTCATGACATCGACATCGATAGAAGAAACCAAACAAATCATGCAAGCAGCTTTGTTTTGCCTCTGGGACACCTCTTGGGCACCTCTTATGGCATCACTGGTTCAACTCCCGTGGAGGTTTTGGGATACGGTGCAACAGATTCAACAAGCTCACAGGTTCGTGAACACATCGGATGCATCGAACAGTGTGGCAAAGTCCAGCCACGCTTCCTTAATTGTCGGGGACTTCAATTCGAAGGTTGGCTGTGTCATTGCTGTTTGTGTGTCTTACATGTTCACAACGTTTTACCTCATGAGCATTTGCCTCACTCCGCTTGATGTCCCACCAGTCCGGATGCACCCCTGCTAGCTTTCGTCACCTACCCTCGGCCTCAAGTGACGGGCTTCCGGGTCATGCTTCCCCTGTAAGGTGCTCTAGGGCTCTAGGGTTCAGAAACTTGGAGCTTCGCGGATGCACATTTCTTTGTGTGATCATCATGGATTTACAATGGTTATTCCCCCAGGGGCCGTGGATGTGAGAGGGGCTTTTCATGGATAGCTCCCAACTCCATGGAACTGCTGGCCTAGTCGCTTACTCCTTCGGCATCCCAACTCCTGAAAGGAACAATTGGCCTGTTGATAATGCGGGATAGAATGAGCACATGATGATCCCAGACACTCCATATGGAATATGCATATCATGATCTGTTCAATTACAAGGCCTTGACCCCACAGGACCAGTCCGGCAGGACTGACTGGCGCACCGCTCTGCGTGGTATAAGCACGACCAGCACGCACCAATGCGTGGTATACATGTGGCGATGTGGGAGGTAATTTGAAGATGGTTTCAGGCGGTTCATGTAAGTGAGATGTATTTTTTGAAGCATATATATATATACATACACTCTGCCTGAAATCGGACATGGAAAACGACATGTTTGGCATTCGGAGAATGGCCCCTTCCAAGGGACCATTTTCCTCTTCCATGATGATTCTCGGGAGCGTTTGAGACATGTGTTTTGTCCCTATGCCCAGGGATGGCACGCGGACATTTTGACATACACCGAAGCAAGCTTCACTTCATGAGCTCTGACTGAGGAAACGCTTGGTCTTCATCCTTTTTACTGTATTGGTCCGCGTGGCGGTGTTGTGTGTCCTGGCCACGTGGAGGGAGGGTCGAGTGTGTCCTCTTGGTCGAATGATCCAGTGTGTTAGAGGGGTCAAAGGCCAATGTATGCACCCAACAATTCAATCTATAAGTCCAGTCCCATCGAGTGTTTAGACTATGGAGATGCTCTATTTTTGGGGTAGTGTTCATGGCTTGAAGAGGATGCCACATGTGTTCTTTTTTTCTATACTTATAAACTTATAAGAACTTATGAGGGATTATGAGGGTGCATTAATAAGAAAATGCCTTCAATACACGTTAAGGAACCCCCATGGCTCTAAGGCCGCCACCTGGTCGTTTGGCCCCTGCTCTTGCTTGGAAATCAGCCGACGTACAGGTTACGCCAAGAAACGGCCTCAGCCACTCGAGTGAGATCACAGTGAGATCACGGCAATGAAACACTCGAAACACCATGTAACACTGGTTGCCAAACGTGTTGGCAACCACTTTAAAAGGTTTAGTGTTTTGATCTGCTTTGTATGCTGTGACTTCTTTTGCATGAATACCACACATGAAGATTAAACAAACAAACAAGCAAACACGTTCTATATGTAATGTCGTACTTTATAGATCTCTCCTTTTCTTGGATTTCTTGGATGAGGTATCTTGCTTTGGTATGGCACGGTGTACTTGGTCTACACCGAGACGGTGCGAAGCTCCGCATCGCATGCGACCGCATCCTCTTGCGCTCGACAGAGTCGTTGTGGATCAGTGGGCATGATGGGACGCCCCGTTTGACGTGAGGCAGACGATGATGGGAATCCCCAAAGAACCACAAACGGTGTATGTTAATGTAAACAAGATGGAGCCCACGAACCCGAATGCAAGCACATTCGAAAAGCTACATATGTCCAAATGACACTCTTGTAGGACACTCTTGTGGGACACTCTTGTGGGTCACTCTTGTAGGAAACTCGTGTGGGACACTCTTACGGGACACTCTTGTGGGACACTCTTGTAGGACACTCTTGTGGGATACTCCTGTAGGACACTCTTGTGGGACACTCTTGTGGGACACTCTTGAGGGACACTCTTGTGGGACACTCTTGTGGGACACTCTTGTGGGATACTCCTGTAGGACACTCTTGTGGGACACTGTTGCGGGACACTCTTGTAGGACACTCTTGTGGGATACTGTTGCGGGACACTCTTGTAGGACACTCTTGTGGGATACTCCTGTAGGACACTCTTGTGGGACACTCTTGTGGGACACTCTTGTAGGAAGCTCTTGTGGGACACTCTTGTAGGACACTCTTGTGGGACACTGTTGTGGGACACTCTTGTGGGACACTCTTGTGGGACACTCATTTGGGACACTCTTGCGGGACACTCTTGTGGGACACTCTTGCGGGACACTCTTGTGAGACACTTGCGGGACACCTCTTGCGGGACACTGTTGCGGGACACTCTTGTGGGACACTCCTGTGGGACACTCACTTGCGGGACACTCTTGTGGGACACTCTTGTGGGACACTCTTGTGGGACACGCTTATAAGACGCTCTTGTAGGAAACTCTTGTGGGACACTCTTGTGGGACACTCTTGTGGGACACTCTTGTAGGACACTCTTGTGGGACACTCTTGTAGGGCACTCTTGTGGGACACTCTTGTGGGACACTCTTATGGGACACTCTTGTGGGACACTCCTGTGGGACACTCATTTGGGACACTCTTGCGGGACACTCTTGTGGGACACTCTTGTGGGACACTCTTGAGGGACACTCTTGTGGGACACTCTTGCGGGACACTGTTGCGGGACACTGTGGGACACTCTTGTGAGACACTCTTGCGGGACACTGTTGCGGGGCACTCTTGTGGGACACTCCTGTGGGACACTCATTTGGGACACTCTTGTGGGACACTCTTGTGGGACACTCTTGTGGGACACTCTTGTGGGACACTCTTGTGGGACACTCTTGTAGGAAACTCTTGTGGGACACTCTTCTGGGACACTCCTGTAGGACACTCTTGTGGGACACTCTTGTGGGACACACCTTGTGGGACACTGTTGCGGGACACTCTTGTGGGACACTCTTAAGGAACACTCATTTGGGACACTCTTGCGGGACACTCTTGTGGGACACTCTTGTGGGACACTCTTGAGGGACACTCTTGTGAGACACTCTTGCGGGACACTGTTGCGGGACACTGTGGGACACTCATTTGGGACACTCTTGCAGGACACTGTTGCGGGACACTCTTGTGGGACACTCCTGTGGGACACTCATTTGGGACACTCTTGCGGGACACTCTTGTGGGACATGCGGGACACTCTTGTGGGACACCTTGTGGGATACTCTTGTAGGACACTCTTGTGGGACACTCTTGTAGGACACTCTTGTGGGACACTCCTGTAGGGTTCCTCCAAAAGTCACGCTGCGAGGCTGCAAGACGATCGTTTCGTACGAGACTTCCTCCAAAAGTCACACGTCAAGTCTCCAAAACGAGCATTTCGCACGAGACTTCCTCCAAAAGTCACATGTCCAGTCGCCAAAACGAGCGTTTCGTACGAGACTTCCTCAAAAACTCACATGTCAAAGTCTGCAAAACGAACGTTTCGCACGAGACTTCCTCCAAAAGTCCAGCGGAAACACCCGTCGGAGCACACACATCACGCAGCCCTGCCAAGCAGTTTCGCGATTCCAGCCCCTCCAAACGACGCCCGCTCACACGCCAATCCCAATGTGACAGCGACATTCACCTCTACCACAACTCACAACCTCCCGATTCCCTGCTCCTGCCACGAATCTTTCCGCGTCCACACGTCCGACGCGCGCAAAGTACTGCGCCTGCCACGAAATGTCACCTCCGTCACCCCTCGCAACCTCACGATTCCCTGCGCCTGCCACTAGAATCGCACTTCCACGCCTCAAAACCCGCACAAAGTCCTGCGCCTGCCACGAAAAGTGACAATATCATCTCATGTGAGCTTCAACAAAATTTGCACCACACCACACGTTTGGAATGATTTTGACCCGTTCTGAGCACACTCCCATCCACCAAAATCGCCATTTCAGCTGAGACTTGTCACGAAAACCGAGCTTCGATGCCACACCCTGAAACGCAAATCCCAATGGCACGGCCACATCCAACACCCCAAAAACACGACTCTCCAAACGCTAATCCCAATGGAACTGCGCAGCTGTCTGCAGATCTCACAAAACGCTGCGCCTGTGCAGCGAAACGCATCACGTTTCTTGCGCGACATGTCATTTTCATGCAAATCACAATGGAATAGCGTCGCAAACTGACACGGGACACATCCATGAAAAGTCACTTGAAAAAGCTTCCCCCAATGGCAGCGCCTTAGCGTCCTACTGCGAACGGTTGCGAACGGTTGCGAACGGTTGCGGACGGTTGCGAACATAGAAACAACGGATCGCGAACAAGACTCTACCCCCAGACCCCCAGAGTTAAACGAGAACCCTTCGCTACGCATTCGGGAAAAATGTTCTGATTTGACATATCTCAAATATAGTAATAAGTACCAGTCAGATTTTTACATCTTGGAACACATATCAGAACGTCCATTTTGTAACCTAGAGCTTGGAGACTTGCTCCATGAAGGATCTTTGCTTGTTGGGGTTGCTAATTTAGTTGTTGGTCAATCGGTTGACATGTAAATGTTTCAATATGTGCCACGGTCATTCGAAGCAGGGGTGCGAATAGGTGCATTTCACCACTACGTCGCGTGTAGAATCACCAACACCTAGGGAGAGGAGTTTTTCATGTGGGAACCTCTGCTATTGCAGATAGGGTAGTTTTAGGGTGTCAACAACACAAGCACTTCAAATACAGCTTATGTCTGACTTCCTTTACAACCACTCCAACTGTTTGGTAGATATGCAGTCCAATTGGAGCGTCGAGATTTCAGAGGTTGGTTTTCTTTGATCCGCCATACCAACTGGACAACCCCTTGTCATGAGAAGCACCTGACCCCAGTGGAACCATCGAAGTTGAAGTTGAACTCGGGGAAACCACGTGTTTCTCAAGGCTTGGAAGATTCTCAAGATGTTTGTTCACCAAACCATACCAAATCCACAGATCTCCTGGATGGACCCTTTTAACTTTTTGAAGCGAACACAGACCAACGGGACGCCCTGGTGGGCTCACCACCGCGCAGCTCAGCGCCAGTGCAGGTGCAAGATTTGCTGCTCAACGCGGTAGCTCTGAAGTTTGTCCTCGAGGCGGTCGACCGCAGCGCTTTTTCTGCGCTTTTTCAGGCGACGGTGTGCTTTCTCCGTGGTGGAGAGTAAGTGGCCCGAGAATGGGCAAGGATGGGCAAGGTAAGTGCCAAGGTAGCATGTGTGTGGGAGCAGGATGGAGCAAGACATCTAGCAGTGATCGTGCAATATATGTTTTGACTAAAATAGGTGGATTATTCGATGTTCTAGCGGATGACAGGTCTTGGCTTGCTTTACTGACAACCCCACAAACCCCGGAATCTATGATACCCGATACCCCATCTTTTGCGCCCTCCAAACCATGGCAAACTGTCACATTGCCTTTCACCACGATCTGCTGTGTTTCAGTTGCCTTTCACCACGATTCCGCTCCTTCGGTTCGGCTCCTTCGTCCACTCTCTCGGTTCGCGTCCACAACCTGCTCGGGTATCGGAACTCCTTTGGCACCCGTCGTTCTTAGCGGAGGTGACCCCCGAAACACCGATGGGCACCGATGATGCCCCGCGGGGACGGCACTCGCGACGGGACGGGACGGGACGGCCAGGGTCGCCCCGGACGCGATGGCCAGGGTCGCGTCGGACGGCCCGGTCGCGAGACCATGGTTCCTATAGGTTCTGGTCTTTCGCGATGTTTGTGGAAAACTTGTCATCTCCATGGGGATGACCCAGCTTCTCCTTGTATACGCTTGTTTTTGGCACGCCCCACACAACTTGCTTTGGGCTGGTCCGTCCAGAAGATGCAGTCTATTTGCAGCCAACTCACTGCATGGACACCACGAATATACCTCCCACACTGCAGGTATCTCCAGGTATGGAAGATATACTCATCCTGTCCGGCTGTCCTGTTTGGAGGTCCATATGTAGTGCAGGTAGTGCAGCCAGGTGATCCATGTGAAGATCCAGGTACATTCTGTTGGGACAAAAAAGCGGTTGGGTGAGTGCAGACAAATCCTTTGGTGAGTGCAGGGACTGTTTTGAGGTCTCGAGATTCTATACGACCCACCAAAACAAAGGAAATACACTGTTTGAGCGACCCACCTACACTGCTTGGAGTTGTGGGGAGGGGAAAAACATCGGTGTCAATCCCACCAAATCAGGTCACTCGAGCGAATCCCACCGCCACCTCGCCAGCTCGGATCGTCGCTTGACGGGGGTGAACCGGTGAGTGTGGAGTGTCCTGTTCGTTCAGGTCCCTACAGGTCAGTGAACGACCTCGTTTTTACTGGAATTGGCCATACAACAGCGCTGCCCAAGGTGGTAAATGACGAGGTTTAGACCTGTATCAGACTGGACTTGTAGGGTGTGAATATTGTGTTATGTCCAAAGCACCTTTCATGTGACAACTGGCTTCCCATTCAACGGTCATGACATATACTGACATACGTACTTCCCCCCTCAATGTTTGGTTGCTTTCTCACATGTTTTCATCGCTGTTCTTTGTCTTCTCCATCCCATTGTGTAAATGAACTTGTGTAGGACATGTCATCAACAGTTGATGTTGATTTTTTCGAGACTTAGGACAGATTCAGATGTTGCTCTGGTAGCTGAAGCGCTATCCGAGTTGTCCTTTAGCAAAACTGTATTACGATCTGGAGTTGGGATTGTGCCTTGAGTTTGGCTCTCTAAAGAAGTGCTTTTGCAGCTCGACCCGCTACTCTTGCTGCAGCAAAATGGTTTTGCTGTTTTTGCAGCTGCTTGCTCTTCCTGCTGATCTTGATGTTCTTGCTGCTTCTTTTGCGTTGCTTTTGCTCTTGCTCTTGCCCTTGCTGCTCTTGCTCTTGCTCTTACTCTTCTTGCTCTTGCCGCTCCTGCTGCTCAACCTGCTCCTGCTGCTACTGCTCTTCCTGCTGATCTTGCTGGTTTTACTGTTGCTCTTACAACTCTTACTAGTGCTGTTGCTACTCTTGCCAGTGCTCTTGCTGCTGTTCCTACTTCTGGTCTTGCTGCTTCGTTTGCTGCTGCTTTTGCCCTTGCTGCTTCTTTTGCTCTTACTGCTGCTGCTCCCGCTCATCTTATAGTAGAAAGCCCGCAGCTAGAATTTTGACTAATTCCTAAACCACAATTAGTCAGGATTTTTGGGATACCTCCATGCATCGCTATATTCTAACTGCAAATGCATATAGAATGAATCCGGAATTGTCACTTAGAGTGTGAAATCAATGCGTGACTTTGAAGATCAAAATCAAGGTCAAGACCAAGCCAGTTCAGATCAACCAGTCAAAGCCAGTATATATATATACTCTATTAGCATTGCAAAATGTACATATATATATATATTATGCGAGTTGGGAAGGGAAAATAATTGCGGCCAGTGCTTTGCCATATTCTATGTGCGAGTGATTTTTGTTCCGTATTCTACGTCTCATTTTTCTCTTCAAAATCACTATTTGAGTGTATTCTATCTGCAAGTAATTGTTTTTTATTCTATCTGCTAGCTGGCTACTATACTGTTCTTGCTCTTGCTCTTGCCCTTCCTGCTACTCTTGCTGCTGCTGCTGCTGCTCTTCTTGTATCAAAGCCCTTCTTGTCCTCTAGAAGACCCCCCACCTCAAGACTCACCTTTTGGGGGGGGCACCAGTTTTGCAACCGTCTCAGGCATGACCATGACATCTGCTAGTTTTTTGTGGTTCACCCCTGCCTCCCTCAACTTTCAATACACACCTCTTTACGAGGCCACTTCAGAGACTTCAGAAAGAAAGAAAATCTTGGGCCGTTCGGTTGCTTGTTTCTTGTGGCGACTCCACTGACTTGAACCGGATTCCCTGTCCGCCTGCAGAGTTGACGACATCTCGACAAAATTTACAAGGAGTACGTTTTCTGTACTATACAACCATCCTTCACCTGTACTGTGCCTCCATCGTGCTTTTCCAGGGACGGTGAATGCAGTGGCACTTTGCGAGGCTGTGAGCAGAACTTGCTTTAAACTCAGCGATGCCCCTTTCTTTGAGCAGCATGTAAGTCGAGCAGCGTGTACGGCTTCATGGACATGAGTGGGCCCAGGTCAGGAAAAGACTTTACTTGCAAGGCGCTTACACAGCACCTGAAAAGTTGCAGCACCATGCTTAGTCTAAGTTGGTTTTCAAAATCAAGCTGTGCAAGAAAAATCTAACCCAGCATAGAACCAAGCCCAAACTTTAAGCTTATAAGTGTGTCTATTTTCAAGACACAACAAGAAAGAAAAACAGGTATCCAGCAAGATGCTTCCCTGCGGCGGAGTGGATGCGCTCAGTAGACCCATGTGTGCGGGTTGGCCACTGGCTGCAGGTGGCCGAGCTCTTGTTTGAAGCCTTCGCCCCGCGCCGATCACGCGCTTTCGACGCAGGGAGTGGACATGCGGAAGGGTGAAGGGAGGGCAGGACTCGCCATGTCATTTCTCGAAGATCAGCCTTGGAGAAGAGCATGCAAAAATATTGAAAATCGTATAAAATCTATAAGCCCGTGTCTGGGAAATCTTTTGACTGGTTTGAGGCCACGGAATGCGCTGTTGGCGCGGATTATTTTTGGTTTCTCTGTGCATGCAAATGTGAGTGCCATGGTGTGGCGGATGTTATCTGGCTGTCAAGGATGGAAAGGAAAATTGATGCACAAACCCGTCAAACGATCAATTCCGGTGCTTTGCCAGGAACCGGGAAACCAATCATGTTTTTGGAACCACGTGGGGTTGAAATATAGCACATGGTCCTCCATGTTGACGCATTGAAAAAAAATCAAACGTCACAAACAAACTTATCAGGGTGTCTAGTTGGGCCAACAGACCATCAAACAAATGCAAAAAACACGTGTTCATCATAGAAGTGAATCATGATGTGTGAACATCAGTTTTGATCCCAGATTCCACGTGCGATGTGTGAAACATATTGGGTCCGAGGATCTTTTGATTTCTTTTGCGTGATGTCCGGGACCTGAACCGATCTGAGGATCGTTCATCGGCAATTTGCGGCCCTTAAACTTGGAGTTGGCCGGCCTCTCGGCAGCGAAGGTTTGGATTTTCACGCGGCGGCCAAGAAACACCTCCAACACTCAAAGATGTACAGGCGATCATTGGCAGTTTTTTTCAGGGAGCATAGGCCAAATACTGCCTATGTTGTTGCAGGCTACGTGTGAGTTGTAAGCAGTGCGTAATTATCCATCCGAGAAGTCCCGAGTGACCAGATTGAGAGAACTACCATGTTGAATCCACTATGGTATTACTGGCCTCGTCTCAACATAGCGATACCTTGCATGTGGGAAGCCACCGCATTCCCCTTCATCTAAATAGTAGAGAGGCAGACCAATGTCAGCCAATGTAGGAGGCACACATCTTGTGTTTGTATATATACATTTGTATTTTGTAATGTCCCGTGATTGAAGTGGACAAATTATGACAAATTTGTGGACCTTAAACTTGTGTTCTATAGGACAACCCAATCCATGCGTTTCGATCAAACCACATTCCAGCCATGCTTAACTCACATGTGGACAGTAGCAAACCCGTCGGCAAACAGGGCATCTACCAACGACAGGAGACTCTTGATCAACAAACCTCCCCCAATTGAATTGAACAACCTCTTCATATGGGGTGGTTTATTTATCAAGAGTCTAAATTACTTTTGAACAAATGCGTTCTTGGCATGGCCGTCTCTGCACTAAGGTGCAAGCCATACGGATTGCTTGATGCCAGTGTCCCTCGGCAGTATAGTCCTGGTTGTTTTTTCTTCACGGAAAAATCATGCATGTTGGCAACATATTGCGCTCGGCAAAGAGGTTTGATCTTTTCTATGGGAGTGTCAACGAACAGACTGCTGGGTCCTGCCACTAGCATTGGAGCACTTAGCTCTTGTGAAAACGCAACGACTTGCAGAGCAGAATATGCACCATGGGTGCAGCTTGGGTCTTCGTGGCTGAAGGACTCCACACGGATACCCGTGCCGTGGTACGACCCTCGCTGGCGAGGATCTACTTGGCAGCGCTGGTGGGCTTCATGGCAGTGGCGGTGTACGTGCTGATGTTGCCCTCCTTGGAAGCCCGTGAAACCACCTGGGCATCTTGGCGGTTTAGTCACCTCACCCGAGTTGTAGGGTAGTGGTAGTAGTAGTAGTAGTAGTAGTAGTAGTAGAAGTAGTCGCCACTGCTACTGCCACTCTACTACTCCCGGAGTCTAGTAACTTAGGTCATTGACCTGTAGGAATATTGTTCATATACATTCCCCTGGCTTTTTGCTTGACCCCAATGCAAGCAACTATTCCATACACGGATGGCCTGGGCAATGCTGCACTTCCTCCAAGAAAACACATGCAGTAAACCGCCGTTCTGCGAAGTCAGACTTGAGGGTCTAGCGGTTTACAAAGGCCTGGCTTTGCACTTTGCCCCGACTGAGGAAGGCCTTTGTGGTGGCAACAAGAACTTTGCCGTGGCCACCGATTCTCGCTCGTAGATGCTGGTGATGTATGTGCTTTCGTTGTAATTGTTTATTCACATACGTGATATTTTGACTACTGGCGATATATTGACGTACTGTTCTGATGATTTGCGATTGGTTGGCTGTATACTAGGAACCAGATGATACAGATAAAAACTAGTGGAAGGAATGCGCCGGTTCCGATGTTGCAGTCACTGTCATGGTTTCGTCGGCTGGCCGCTTCACCATGTTTCACCTCACGGGTGTGTGTTGCTGTAGTGACGGTTAATAGGTGAAGACCGGACACCCACAGTGGGTGTGTTATCACAATTGGGGCCTCCAGCTGTGGCAGTGGTGTATGTTGGAATGGCCTAAGCAGCTGTGCACTGAGCAGAGATGTGGAAGAAACAGGGTGGCCCAGTGTGGCAATACAGCATGCGTGGAAACTATACCCTGCTTCCTGTTCCCAGAATCGCTCCAAAAATGAATGAAACCACTACCGTCATAGGTAGCCCATGCAGGATCAACAGAGATCCTTGTGACTCCTTAGATGGCCTGAGCAGTCAAAAAAAAACGAGAAACCCTGAATTGTCCGAAATCTTAAGGTTTCTTAAGATCACATGACATCTATACCATGCCATAGCACTTGGTATCACTTGGTGCCACTGAATCTGTTATTTTTGTATGCCATGCGTTCAAACTTTTGTACCCACGTGGGAGGTGACAGGCGACCCGCCTCCACATCACTTGAAGGTCGCAAGAAACTCCGAGAGATACACCTAAATCATCCTAAATCCACAAGGCCGAGCCAACCTCTTCTCCGCTTCAGGATGCCTTTTTTTCGTTTTCCCTCATGCCATCCGCCTGGGTTTGGTCGCCTTTTGGGAACGAATGGAAAGTGGCCTTTGCAGCTAGGAGGTAAGGCTTGTAGCAGACCGTGAAACGAAGAAGACATCCGGAAGTCAAAACCCAGCACGCATTCATTGGAACACCTTGATCAAAGAAGAGAACGCTAACAAGTTGAATCCGTTTTCTAGATATTGGTCCTGCGGTGCTGTTGCTGCTTCTCCATTTCCCAGCAACACTTCTCTCCTAAGCACTTGTGGTTTGAACATTTTAAAAGCTATAGCTTATGACCTGGCATCCCCTAATCAGCGATGATCCACAATTCATTTCCATATATTGATCATCGCATGTTCTCCCTCCGCACAAATCGAATCTACGTGAAAACCCTTCAGCCATCCGTCATTCGTCTTCATCGATGCTCCACCCGTTGTTCAGCGGTCCGCGGTGCAACGCGGTGCGCACCTCGTGGACCAGTGATCCACTACACCACCCCCAAACCCAACCCGGCTCCAGGATGGCTTGGGCCGGCTCCACTGGAGCATCACGAACCCCTTCACTGAGCTGGATGAGTCCGACAGCGACACCTACGTGCACCGCGCCACGGAGTCCCTCATCAGGCGGTTTCCACCGGAGCAACGGCTGTCGTACTGGCACAGTGGAACGAGAGCGAATGCTGTGGGCCAGAGGCTGTGGATGGGGCTAAGCTGAATTCTCAAAGTCGTACCGGATATCAGTGTTTTGTGTGGTTCTTTTCGTATATGACGCCAGAGTTTATATAACAATCGTGGGCCATAGTTTGGGCGTGTTCGTTATTTTAACTTAAACCATGAGCGGACCTCTTCAAGTTGTTGGATTCCAAGAGGGATTTCCACCTGTCTCTCCTTTCCACCTGGTCTCTCCTTCGACGATGAAACTTCGAAGCCGGCTGTGGTGAATGAAGAATTAAAAGAACACGGTATACTTTACAGGTGGGACCGGTGGTGGGTTTGAGAAGGAACATGTTCAGAGGTTCATTTCATCATTCCCAGACACTCCATGTATGGATTAATTATGGTATATTTACCTACATTGGGGTGGTTTGAAGGTTCAATGTAGGCATATATGACAGACATGGAGTGTCTGGGATTGAATTTCATCCATAAACGTCCATAGTCATCCATAGTCATCCGAGATTCCGACAAATACGCTGAAACCGTGCCGTTCACGTTTTTGATGCATGCTTTTGTGTTTTCTTCTCAGTGTTCCTTGAACTTTCCAATCCTACCTTGGCTTGGTCAATGGATAACCTGCAACACCATGCAGCACCTAGCTTTTTTGGGAATTGGTTTCCCCACTCAAAACGAACTGTTGAAAAACAACAAAAACACCGTGAACCTTTAAAAGTTCAGGGAACCTATTTACTCCTCTCATCAAACACGCCGCACGTTCCGTTCAAACCGCTCGTTCCGCTCGTTCTGTCGCGAAACGAACCACCGTGGTCCAGGTCGCTCGAGTCAGCAACTGGCGCTCGAGTCGTGTGTGCCCGGCTTGCAGGAACTTGGACGTGAATCCCTATTCGCCCATGACCATCTACGACCCCTCCTTCGACCACCTGCGGAACGTCGGCTGGGAGAAGTTAGTTTGGGAGTTCCCTAGCAAGGGTGTCCGAAGGATCACCTATGAAAGTTGACATATATAGACGCCGCCGGGTCTTTTTACTTCTCAAGTTGTTTTGGATGACCGATTTAGGCTTTGGCCGTTGCTCACTCAACTGGCGATGGCTGTTTTGTGACAGTGGGCATCACGACTGCACCCTGTACAATAACCCAGACACTCCATGTATATTTATTTACCTACATTGAGGTGGAGAAGACGACTACAGATTTGGCCCAAAGGTGACGTTTCATTCTAAACTGCAGGAAGAGAGCTGCAGAAAAAGCCACTCTAGTCGCACTCCGCACACTAGGAAGCTTGATCCTGTATGGCCACCAGTGTTCCTGCGCTTTTTATCTGGTTTGCTTGTGGACAGTCAACGTGGTTCAACAAATCAAAGATCGGCGTCGTACCACCATATATGGTGAGAAAACCGGGTGAGGGGTGTCTATCAACTACCCAGTGGCTAGGCTCCAATACACGCCCCTTGGGGTCCATGTGCACCTCCCCTCAGTGTCACCGTTCACAAAATCAAACAACCGTTGATATAGTTGTTGTGCTGTTTTTACCGGATGAAGACGAAAACCATGGTTTCAAAGTGTTCAAAAGGTTGACTGAAAGATACACAGTAATTGGGTGCCAGTTGGTTTCCGGAGGTTAAACATTAAAAGTTTCATGGTCAAAGATGTGGACTTGCCCTTTGCAAAAAAGGGAGATGTTGTGTGTTTTTGGCAGACCTTTGGGATATTGCACGCTAGGTGGTTGAACTGCACAGGTTCGAGAGCTTGTATCTTGCATGTAAGGCATGCAGGTTCAGAACAATCCCTTGCAAGAAATTGGGAAACACACTAAAGTTTGGCCGCCACTCGGTCTTATGAAGCAGTTTATCAGGGAGATTTATGGCTTGTGACACATATGTATTATACATGTATTTGTTGAGTCTATTTTGGAACTGACACACAAGTAAACATAAAACAACTTGACACCTTCAAAAAGTTCTGGATCACTTCCAGATTTGATGGACCATTGGACCATCCAAGTTTTTGCAATGGTTCTGTCCTCATCTCCACATGCATGGTTCAGTCTTCCTATCCAGTCGGTGAAAAACCTTAACCTTTGTTGGGCATAACGGCTAACCAAAAACATGAAATCATATGAACCAGATTGACAATTCATGAAAGTTCGGTGTGTCACTAGCTCTGGGTGGTGGTTTCAGATATTTTTATGTTCAACCGCTACTTGGGATGATTGAACCCACGGATCCTCATTTTGTTCAATCGAGTTGAAACCACCAACCAGTAGATATTAATATAAATTTAATAAGTATAACTATATATATCTGACCTGCTTTTAAAGAAGTTGAAAAGTTGATTTCCAAAAAATATTGATTCCCAGGGTTCCCACACCGGGTCCCGCACCTGTTCCAACACCACCCAGGGTTCCCACACCAACCAGAATTCCCAGGGACAAACGGAAGGGCAGAGCACAGAAAAGGTTTTTGCAAATCCTATTCTACTGACTCTGACTGGGCCAAGGCCCAGGACTTTCGTGGAACCTGGCCTCATTCACGTACCATTCAATTTTAGTGGAAGGGTGGACCCTTTAGAAACCTTTCAAAGCTTCTTGGAAGGTATTTTGGAAGTACTCGTGAAGCAGTGCTTGCTGACACCCTTTCCGTACACACACCCTGCATTTTGGATTTCCCAGGAAGGAGCAGGTTTCCAAGCTTTTCATCATGGGGATGGTCGGTGCCAGGTGGAACCTTGAAAGAATCACCAAAAAAATATTACCTGCTTTTAAAGAAAACAGTGATCTACCAGGCTGCGACCGTCGCAACCTCTTAGAACAGTCACTAGCGCTAGCGATGGTTCTAGTGGAGTTTTCACTTCGCCGGAGCAGCCTCTAAGTACCGACGGTCGCAAAAACTTTCTGCGAAGGACAGTGTTTTGAGTCAGGTCCAGCGAAATCAGGACCCCCCCCTGAGCGTCTCACTAGCGCTAGCGATGGTTTTAGGAGGGGGCGACCGTCGCACTCTGTTAAATCAGTGTTTTCCTTAAATGTCGGTAATATTTTTAAATATTTTTTTCTGTGCAAACCCCCCTCGAGGAGCACTGGCGCTAGCGACGGTTAATTATTTATTGTCTTTCTGCAAAGGGCCGCCGACGAGCGTCTCACTAGCGCTAGCGATGGTTATTTATGCAATGTCTTTTCAGCAAAGGACCTCCCGACGAGCGTCTCACTAGCGCTATCGATGGTTTAATTATGTATTGCTTTTTCACTCACTAGCGCTAGCGATGGTTTAATTATGTATTGTTTTTTCAGCAAAGGACTCCCCGACGAGCGTCTCACTAGCGCTAGCGATGGTTTGATTCTAGGGTGCCGCAAGCGTTTGAAGCTGTCAGGTTGGAAGCTCGTGATTGAACATGGAAAGTAATATTTGTTCAAAATCAACTTATCAACTTCTATAAAAGCAGGCCAGATATATATTATACAATATACCCGCACCATCCATTTCGGGTGTCTTTTTGATGGAACATCGCTTGTCAGGGCTCGAAGAACGCCGCGACGACCGCCTCAGGTGGTTCAGGAGCAGACGGTGATCGAGGCCGGTGCCTCCCGGAACTGTCGCTCGGAGCAGACGGAAGTGGGGGGAGCGGACGCGAGGTCCGGGGAGAAGGAGAAGGAGACCCGGGGCCTTTGGGTGATGACTCTTGATCAAAACCACCCAAATCATATGGGGTCGGGCTTTTATTCATCAAGAGTCTACGTTAACTTCAGATGATTCCAGATTGGATCCAAAATGCTTGAAGCAGAGGGCAAATATAGTGGATTGACTTCGTAGATGACACAATCCCCAATGTCGGTCTAGATGGACCCCCATCTAAAGGACATCTAGGGTCTAGACACCCCTGTACAAGTCCTGAATTCACCTGCTCGGACCTGACTGCCTTTGACAGACTCCTTGGAGATTGTCGTAACTACTCAGGGCTTGGAGATGAAGTGTGGATGTTGGACCAAAAAAAAAACTGTTCAAAGTTTCTCGCTCATGAGACAGACAGGATGTTTGATTCAAGCAATCTTTGATATGTCCCCTGGTTGAGTCGAGTGAGGATGTTCGTTATTTTCAGTTGATGTTTGATACAGGAGGACTGGGCAAAGTTCTTTCCCATGTCCTCAGTTTCTCAAAGTTTGTGTCTTCTAGGTTTGCAGCAGACAGCTGTTGATCAGAAGGGCCTTTCAAACTAATTCCGGGGGTCCAGTTACCACTCAGTAACCAGTGGTTTCAAAGACTGAAGCCGGCCTGGCCGTGGTTCCTTACTACTTGTATTTGCCTGGGATCCACTGGGTAATATATATATATATACTGTATATATTTATTTATTACTATTTATCGAGAAGCCACCTTGGTGGGCTCCACTAAGGCTCCAACTATAATCACAGTTTTGGTTGGGCGGACCCAAATCGAGGCCGAGCGGACCCTGTCGAGACGAGCCTGTGCCTGTGTACTGATATGATCCAATTTGCATTTCCCTATTGAAAAAACCATGTGGTCCGGACCCGTGCTTGTTTAGTGCTTTGCAAGAAAGCTACGAGGTGCTGCCCCATGCTGCATTTCAGGTGCCGATGCCGACAGTGACGCCGGTCCTGACTACTGGTCCAACATGGGTGTCGGGATCCTGCGCATGGCGTGCCACAACGAAGCTCGGCTAGAATGGACATGGCGTGGACACTGAGGAACGACCGCGTTGCGGGCAACGGGTGGACCGCGTGGCGGAAACGTATCGAAAAAAAAAAATAAAACACATCAGTGGAAGAGGAAGCGTCTCCCAATAAAGAGGTGAGTGGTGTGGAAGGTTGCACGATTTGGCAGCTTCTTACCCGGGCCTAACCTCCAAATGATGTGTATTTGTTGAGTTTCTCATGTCCCATAGAGATGGAGAATAGATCATGGACATTCATGGGTGGAGTAGGGGAGTCACTCCCTTGAAATCAATTCTTATTCCAATGGTGTTGCCACTGGGGTGATTTCTCTGTTCTCTGCTGTTGTAATGTTTTTTGTCCGTTTCGACCAAAAGACATGCTCGACTGACTCGTTGGCTTCGACGACCTGTGTTGCGGACGACCCAAATCCAGACCTGCGGGTCGCTTCAAATCAAAACGGGAGTATACGGCCTTCCCTGCAATTGAAATGGATGGCACCACCTGTTTGGTTCGTGGATTTCATGGTCTTCCTTTTTCGGGCCATAGACTCCACTTCCTTGGAACTAGTTCTCTTCGGAGTGGAGTACATCGCGCGATCCGGACGGACCACAGACGTGCCAGATCCGGACGGACTGGATCTCTCGCAGCACCGGACTGGACCCGGCACCGATCTGACCGGGCATAGCGCAAGGAATTCAGCGCAAGATGGAACTAGCCCTTACCAGGCACACACCTTACAGCGCAAGTCGTTTTGGTTTTGCTTATATAGGGTGATTTGGTTGTTTTCCCGAACTGGGTGCTCCCATGTCCACAGATCTTCCAACAGGTCCTGTTTGGGATCCCAAGTGCCTTGAGACATGTAGCTCCTACTTATAGAGATGTCCACAGGAAACCATAAAGGTTTTGCAAAATGAGTTCTTTCATTGGATTCTGAAGGTCCTTTGGATCTGAAGGTGGCATGGTCTTTTGGATCTGAGGGTCAGAGATTGTTTGGATGGTGCATGTTAAATGTTGGCTTTGTTGTTGTATACAAATTGCATCTATATAATAAAAAAGTGGCTGGTCCTTCAGATCCATGTCCTTCACTTATGTTCATTGCTTTGTTGGAACAGGCACCACCGCTTGCTTTGTTCGAACCGTGGTCGGCATTCGTCTTCGTGGCTTCATGGGTCGGCCTACAGGTCATGACTCACAGGGCTAGCACCGGATACTGGGGTTGTCACATGGAGTCGAGTGTGCGGTCCCGTCCAGCCGTGCATGTGGTGCACCTACAGAGCTCCGTTCGAGCTCCGAACCTCGTGGCACCCCGAGCGACATGTGACTCCTGGAGATCTTGGCTTCGAACGGAACAGGCTGGGTTGACCTCGAACTCAGAAACCACCAGGAACTCGGAAGAGGTCCGCGAGGGAAGGAACAACCACCCCGCCCAAAACTCCCGACTGGAGCCTTGCCGCCGAGGATCAGATCAACCAATGCGCAGATGTGAAACCCTACTGTCGCAACGTCTCCCTGGGCGGGCTGCGAAGTCGCCAGTGGTGCCCCGAGCATCTCGGTGTGGTAGGTGAGGCGCGCGGACGGGGAACGAGGATGGAACGAGGATGTTCGGGAAGATGGGCGGGGTGGGCAGCGGCGAATGTGCTAGTTAGAATCATACAGGGAATCCAATATATTTGCAGGCGTTCTCTACATAATGGGGCTGGTTGACCCATCAATATGGCACTTCTTGTTCATCTTGTCCTAATGATTATAGGGCCTTGGAATGTTGTAGAGAGTCAAGAAGAGAGGTACCATCGGCATGTCAATCTGCATTTTTGGGTGCTTTTAGGCACGCTGGAATCCATGTTGTAGGAAACAATGTCATTTATGTGGGGGAGCGACACGGAGCGAGTGTGCAGGGGGAAATTGTGTAATCATTTGGTTTCATGATGTTTCATGTGATATATTATGAGAAATGCACATTTGGTGATTTGGACACATCGGGAGTGTGTTCACTTGAAAAGGCTTAGCGATTAGCCTTTGCATAATGCATTTGGTACATGTCGGAGCGCATAAGATAGTTTTGTTTGTCATTTGGTTTCATAGAATTTGTTCATGAGTGCCAATTTTGTATGTTGTTCTGTAGACTGTTTTGGGTACACTGTTCATTTCATATCTATATACGTTTGCACAAGCAAAAACTGTAACTCACAGCAAAGTCGACAGGCAGTTACAGCTACCTCGGATTCTTAGATAGCCAAGAAGCCTCGATTTGTTTCATAGTATGTGTTGTTTGTTGTTGATAAAAAATTACACTAAACCAGGTTAGTGGAGGTGATTATAACATTTTTTCTATTTACAATCGGTGTTTTTCACCGGTCACCAAGAACTCCAAGAGGTCGCTCACACAATCAATTGCCTGGGTCCACCACATCGATCTATCCGATCTTGTTTGGTCAATTGCCGGGTAGGCAGAGATAGATTTGCAACTGACGTTTTGAGTAAAGAGTTGCCTATTTCAAGACACAATTGCATCATGTGGCGGTTTGCTGGCTAGGACCAACCAGTGGAAGGGCCAACCAGTGTCCAGGTGCACTAATTGGTTGGCCAAGGACCTGCGGCTGCTCAGATATCTTGTCAGGGCTGTTGCTTGAGACTTGGTGTATTCGAAGTTCACCCCGCACCTTGTGTGTGAGGAGTTGGGAAGGGTGATTGAAAGGACAGTGATCTTGGAGGTCCATTGCCTGAACATATCATGTTGAAGGGTTGGGGTTGGAGGCCTAGTCTGTGGTCTTTGACAGAAGGATTTGTTGTTCGACCAGAAGAAACAGGTTTCCTAGAGGGCAGTAGAGGTTTTGGTGGTGCTTGGGGAAGAAGATGCAGTAAGATAGGTCCTTCACTTGCGGGCCACGCGTCAGAAGCATGAACCACAGAACTGTATAGAATCACTGGTTACAAAGCTTACTAAGTCACACTCAGGTAGATTGTACATCTGTATAGAAACCATGCCCAGTGGTTTCCTGAAACAGAGTGGAACACTTGTTCTTGGGAGGTGTTCAGGGATGATGAGCGGCCCGGCAGCTTTCATGCAGAAGCTGGGATGCTGACTTGGCTTTATCAAATCATGTGAGTCTACCTGAGTGAGCGGTCATTCAGAAATAAAGGCCCCATGGTCCATGGATGCTTCTGTTCCTCCTGGGTCCAAGTTCTCCAATGACCGAGGTTTTCGTGACGAGTAGGGGGGTCTGTCCCTACTCGTGACTGAGGACATGGTTTGTCTATCCTCAAACGGGTCTTGTGGTCAAAAAACAGATCCTTTTCCAAATCACCCCAAACTCACATCAACACATGGAGCCTTTTTTGCGGATGGATACGTAGTGATGGGGGTAGAACCACAGATGTACAGTTCTTCTCAGAAGCTTCACCTGATGCCACACGGATGTACACACGGTCCTTGCACGGGTCATCACGTACCTAGGACAGGGTCCAGAATGGTTGCCCTGCTGCTCGGTGATGCACTTGGACGCAGCACATGTCCAATCTGTCAGAGGATTTCTGGGCACCCCGAGCAAGCTTCTCCAAAGAGCGATTTACCTTTAAATGAAACCCTTGGTCCTTGGTAAAGCCATTGGTATGCCATTGTGTTGTATAGATTTAAGCACAGCCCAAAGGAGTGTGGTATCGCACAATCGTGTGATCGGGTGAGACATCAATGAGTTTAGAGGGTCTAGCCATGTACTTTCCTGCAAATCTTCCTCTAACCGACATTTGAACGCACTGTTTAGAGTTTCTGTTCGTCAAACCTTGAAGGGCCTGGTTCAAAAAACACACACTCGGAAGCAACGGTTGCTTCCTAGGGGACTGACTTTTGACGCACTTCCCAACCTTCTGATTTCATTGGTCTTGATATCTTTCATGACCCCAGTTTTTACGATCCAAATTCGGATTCGGATCCATCAAGAGCCGGCTACTAAATTTGACCATGATTTGGAGATCTTGAATAGTTGGGGGGGTCTCAGTGGATTTGTTTTGTTGGTTAGTTTGGTTTCAGGTTCAAGTTGTGCGGTCATACGTTGTTGTTTGTAAGTATAGAGTTATATATTATGCCTTACCATCATCATGATCATCATCATCATCATCAGCCACAAAATTGAATAGAGCTGAGGCCATTTCCAAACCCTGGTTCTTTCAGGTTCCCTCGACCATTTCAGGACTCGTTTCACTGTTTCATCCACTGACGTTCGAGGCCACCTGCGTTCAAAAGCTCCGTGGAGATGCCAACACGGTGCAATGTGCCGATGCCCCGCTCAACTTCACCCAGGTCTACGCACGAGGCGTTTTTCGGCACTTTTTTGACGAAACAAGCTTTCTCGATGCATCGCCACCTAGGGCGTTTTGGTGGGTCAAGACGTCGTGGTTTGTTAGTTTTTTTTTTAATGCAGTCCTTTGTAAACTGGGTGTTGATGGAAATGAGGTCAAGCTTCAGAACATGTGTGAACATATTTTGGCCTTTAACGATTGCGGATTGTTAAGCCAATGGTGTACTTTTGGGGATCTCCCACTTTGAGACACAATAGCTGGTTTTCTGTTTTACTGCTGAAGGAAGAGCCTTGAAACTGAGATGAGGCTGGGAAAACAAGATATCCCTACTGATTTTGTTTCGCAAAAGCGACAATGGCAGTTTGAATTCATTCTTTGGTCAGAACGAAAAGACAAAAGCACAACACAAAGCAAACAGCAGTATTCTGAATCCAAAGCTCTGGATCCCAATGATCTCTCCTCCAAACGAGATCCCGCCTCATAGCACCTCGAGCACAGCACAAAAGAACCTTAGCATAAAAGAACACTTCAAATGAACGTCTTATTAGGCAGTTGATATTGACGTGTAATCAAACTGTGATTGACGGAGTTCTTTTTTCAAGACCATGTTCCCATTCGTCTGGCACTCCGAACGAAGATTTGGTTTGCATTTGGCGCCTGTCCAAAACCTACGAGGTGCGCAAATCCTTTTTACGCAGAAGGGCTACAACTCCCCACAGCCCCTTGGAGCGGCAGGAAGATGCTGAGAACTGGAGAGCCGATGTGGTTTCTGACCTTCAGATGTCTGATGGATGGTGATTCCGTGACATCCTGTGACGCTTTATCATTTTTATCACATGTTATCACTATTACGACAATATACATTGCAGCAGTATAATAAGTATTTCACAATTATTTTCAATATTCATATCATTGATGCCCCCGAACGCCGAAGGCACCTCCCTGCATTGCATATTACCCACCTCTGTAAGGCCAGTCCCGAACGGTAGCGTCCTTGTTCGTCGCCTGATCTCTCCGCCCGTCGCCCGTCGTCTCAGCATGTCGTCGTCGTCGCAGCGAGGCTCGCGGCCTTGGCCAAGAAGATGGAGACCCAGGGCTGCCCAGCGATCGCGCACGGTGACGTCGCCGGCCTCCTGGAGCGAAAGCGGAGCGCTTCGCTACCACGGCGTGGTCGTGGTGGAGTCGATGTGTTGTTTTTGTTTTTTTTTTTTTTTCGGGTGAAGAGGGAAACGGCACTGGCGCCAGCGCTCCGACCCCTAAGAAGAGGATCTCCTCATATCTCCCCATTTCAAGATATGGGGTTCTGGTGGAGCGTGTTCTTGGGGTGCTGGGGTGGATGGGACGATGGGATGCCGATTTCACTCGAAGTAGTTGCTATACTTATACCGGGTATCCCTGAAGAGTGATAATTACCACTATCCTTTTTTGAAATCATCTGTCGTTGGGAAAGTGGTGTGACAAAAAGCACTCCGGAGTGGAAAAAATCAGTCCAACTGTAATTGCGTTTAAGTTTAGAGTACGTTCAATTAACGTTCGCTTCGCGTCCAAGATACGTTGCGGAGCAACAAAAACCATTCTGGAGCAACTATTCTCACTCCCGAGTGCTTGTTGTCACCCCACTTCCCCAAAGATTGTTCATTTCAATTTGGAGGGCCGACGCACCTCCCAGTCAGCTGTTAAGAAAGGAATCCCAAAGCGGTGGTCATATTGGCGTAATCCATCCTCGAGGTACAGGAGAGTGCAACATGCGCAAAATAAGGTTAACCGGATGTCATCAGATGTTGAGGAAGATGTGCTGGAGGAAGATGGTGGGCAGGGAGAAATCACCAACGTCTGCGCAGAAGCTGCGCTTTAAAACCACCCGAGTCTGGGCGCCCAATGACGTGGGAACGACTGCTGTGGAACGACCTTTGTGCGAAACGACGAGCCGAGAGGGCGCCGGGCTTAAAAAAGCACCACCGCTCGTAGTACCCAAAACGGCGAGCTCGGGAAGCCAACTCTAGATGGACATTGTCCGTGGGACGCCCTGGTTGCTCAGTTTCCATGTTGAGAGAACTTGAGAACAAGATCAAGAGGAAGTATTCCTTATTACAACCAACCTGTACTCCAATTGAATAGCGATCACTTTTACTCCAACTGACCAGAAGTTGCTAGACTTTCCAGCCTGGGACATCCACTGGCCAATCCACTGGCCAGTCTGGATGTTGGAGCTGTTTTCGCCAGCCAAGACCAACCAACCCTTCTGGTTGTGTGGATCAGGTGAGTTCCGTGATCCCGATGCCAGGAGCCCCTAATTCGTAGCGTCCTTTCTCGCTCCGTTCGTAAGGCGAGCCCCGAACGTACCGAACTGGGTGAAACCTGCCAGTTATCTGGGGGAAGACCAGCACCTTCAGTTCGGGGTCACCTGGCAGCCCCTACTACACTACCTAGCGATCTCCATTGGACACCCCTTTGAAGGTCCAGGTATTATGTGTTTTTCTTTCCCCGGTTCCTGGACGGCGCATCCGCTTCTGAGGCAAAGACTTGTGTGTGGGCAACAGTGTGCTGCTGACCACGTGCCTTGACATTTCACTATTTCACCAATCCCAGACACGACTAATGGGACTGGCATTCTGTCCATTGACCCTTAAAACCTTCCTGTATACAGTAGACTCAGTAGGTATTGTAAATATGTTAGTCCCATGGAGTGTTTGGACCCAGCGATGATTTACCGACCGCAACGGTGCACCGACGGATGCCGAGGGAAGACCGAGTTGTCGCATGTTTTGCATGTCACGTCTCATCCAAATTGAAGCATTTAGAAATTCATAGAGATTCAGACCCCTCGCCTTCCTAACAAAAGATACGCTGAATCCGTGAAAATCGACGAGAAATTCAATAGAATCAGAACACTCACCCACCCACCCAAAAAAAAAAGAAACATCATGAATCCGTCAAGATCGAGCAGAGAGCTGGTGTTTTCCTGGCCACCTGTTCCGATGTCTTGGGGAGATCGGACCATGGACCGAGCGAGCAGAGCGGAAACGAACGCCTGCTCAGGCGCCGAGCAGGTGGACCAGTTGGACCGAGTAGGTGGATGTTCAAATGTTCCTCTTCGTGTCATTCACCTCCACCTTCAATCATTCAGACCTCTCTTCCAGATGTTCATGACCAAAGCCAGAGCCCAAAAGGAAAGCACATTCAGAAAACCAAGATCACCTTCAGCGAAAGGAACAAGAACACAGCGCACAAACTTGGCTCCTATCCCACAAAATCCGGACTGAAAGATCTACCTATACCCTGAAAGAAACATCTGAACAACTCACCCCGATTTATGAGCACATGGATTGTAGGGTCCGATGGATTGGATGGTTAGGGTCTTGGGCGGGCGGTCTTGGGGTTCCTGCAGTGCGGTGCCGCTCCACCAATAGCGCCGCCAAGGATTTACTTCCGCTCTGTGAAGTATGTGTGCCCAGTGGCCTGTGGTTCCTGAGCTGAAGGGTCTGAAGATGAAGGAGTTGATGAAGGGTAGCAGGTTTGCCAAAACCGACCTGCACACTAAGCTTACTTGCACCCCGAAAGATGAACATGGAACCTGAACACGGATCTTTGGAAGGCTAGCTTCCTCCACAAACCAGTGGTCTTCAGGGTCCATGTCTATCTTGCATGGCATATATGTTGAGTTTTTGAGTGGAGGATTGGTTTTACCATGTGTTACCAAGTAGATGAATAGTTGGACAAAGGGTCAATATGAACAGCTCAATCCAGAATCAAGAAAAGTGAGTTGGTCCTGGTTGGTGGGAAAGGGAGAGCTGAAAGGGAGAAGCCAGAGACCTCCCTCGAAGGAAATTAACAGCTGCGTGGATTGGGATGGGATGAGAACTGATGAGGAAGATGGGGGTGTATTAAGATAGGGCGACCTTCCAGGTCTTCCGACCCTCTGGAAGGTTCGGAACATAGACCAGTCTACTAAGTCTACTACCCAGCCAGGGGTTTAGATCGGTCTCCCTATTAAAAGACACATCAAGAGAGGTTGAGAGACCTGAACTAGGACCCTGTAGTGTTACATATGGGATGGGCATGGATCGGCTATAAGGCTGTTCAACCTGCCTTGGCACTCACATGGCTTCCCATAGGCTCAGTAAGGTCATTTGCCGACCATTCGCGTCGCGTCCGCGGTTGAAATTCGTGTAAGCCGTTCCATGTGTCGCTGCTTTCGCTGAACGGTCAGAACGTGTCCGGCTGGAAGATGACCAGATCGATATATCGATGTTCTTGTGGACAGGTGGCTTCATAGAACATTCTATGGAAGGGTCCCTGCCATCGGCAGAAGCTCCTGTTTTGGTGGACTTTCCTAGGAGAAGAGGTGGTGTTGAAAGATCAACAGCTGCGCAGCTGTCGTGGACTTAGTAACCCTGCTGGAGACTAACATGGACCCTGCTGAAATACCTGGGCCATCCTGTTTGGGTGACCTGGCTGGAGATCCCGGATAATTAGTAGTGGAGGGCAGTCCAGCCAGGACACCCAATTGGATGGTACATTGACCGTGAAAATGACTCTGTATGACAAATTCCAGTCCGATGGTTTGGGTGAGGATAAAACCCTTAGTTGTGGAGGATTTGGTACCTTTCAGGCCCCGGCCCAGGGATGGAATTGGATCTCCTTTCGAGGTTCTAGATTTGCACAAGGCATGTTCTTCTAAATGTCTGGCACATCTTGATACATTATCATTTTTCATCAGATTTCACACTATTTCCATGTGTTTGGGGATATCAAAATTAACAGCGCTTTTCGTCTCGCTTTTCGTCGCGTTTTGCGCTGACTCAGGCTGCGACGGCAGCGGGTTGCCCGGGCAGAAGCGGGATCTCGCCACGGTGAGCAGTGTGCCTCGGTGGATCGTCGATCCGATCGACCATGTCGTCGTCACTTGGTGCCGCCCCAGAAAAAACCGACCCCTCGACTCCATGGGACTGCCATATCAGGCCAGGGGTGGTGCCAGGGGGGGTCAATGTAGGGATATATGTATGGCAGTCCCATGGAGTGTATGTGAAACGTACATGGAAATTATAATATATAGATATAGCATATACGTGGATTGTTTGGGGATGGAGGGGGTCGGTGGTTGGTACCGAACTGGGTTGTACGCGACCGACGTTAACATCACTTCACCCAATTCAGTGATTTCTAGGTGTAACCTTTTTCCTCCGAGTTTGAACTTGGAGGTGTAGTACACATTGGAAGCCCTTCACCTAAATTCTAAACTTTCATCTCCAGATGACCACACCCCAGATACTCCATGGACGGCAGATTCTCCATTGACTGGTCAGTTCTTTCGGTGTCGTTCGCTGCTTCGGCATAGGTGGCGATGCCGTCCGAGGCGACCGACCGTCGTGTCGCCTTGGCGGTTTCGGCGGTTTCGGCGGACGGTCAGCGACCAAGGTCGAGTCAGGCTTCCGCCTCTCAGGTGACTTGGTGGCAAGCCGTTTAGGCACGAGGAAGGGAGGCCCTTTGAATGGGTGTCATCGATCCGGGATCTCAGTGCGCAGAAGCCGGTTGCAGATGACACAGGAACAATCCTGAGATGTTTGTTTCCCGAACTGGGTAAGTTTCCCCAAACCTGGTGAATGTGTTTATATGTGTTCCCGGGTTCCACAGCAAATCCAACAAAAGACTCAGGCCTTGGAGCCCGATTCCATCATGATAGTTCTACCATCTACCGGCCGTCGGTAGGTCAAGTAAGGTATCCTGGCTTTGACCCATAGCCGCATAGCCCTAGCCCTATCATGTTGGATGATGCCATATACCCTTTGTTATTTTTTAATAATGTTTTAGATGGCTGTGGGTCAAAACCGGAGCCCGCAACCCTTGTATATAGGTTGACCTCCTTAGTAGTCGATTAGTAGTCGATTCTGTTCATGTTGCTCGTGTTTACTTACAGCCCTTACTGGGTACATGGATAGCAAAGCCTCGCTAAGTCTGAGGTATATAAGATTGTGTGTAATAATTGTGATTGCACTTACTAGGTTTCAACTTTTCTGAGCAAAGTCTAACCTGAGTCTAAGCTAAGCTCCAGTTAGTTACTATAAGTCCTGTGACAGTTTGTTTTACATGTTCTTTTCTTTCCTGAAATGAAAGGGCATTATGTGCCAGGAAAAAAAAATACCCTATACTTTACAGCGCCTGAGGCGACATTTGCGAAGGTCAAGGCGGGAGTCCAAGCCGCGGGCGGCGTGAAGAATGCAGCGCGTTTCGCAGGTTTCGACGAAGGATCAAGGACTACTGACTACTGAGGAGTATACCAACAGTAAGAAGGAAGGACTGAAGGACGTGGAGTCTTAAGTTAATGCCTCATAAATTGTTACCACTAAGTACAAGTTCATAAAAGATTCCCATTTTCCAAGCTAGGAATTGGAGGGTGGAACAATGACCCTTTTAGTTTCTCATATAGTTTTGTTGCACCCTAATATGCAGGAACGTAGGGACTAGTCACCCAGATAACTTGTTGGGAGAGCTGTTTGGGACTAAGCTTTGGACTTGGAGACTTCAAGACCAGCCCTTTTGGCTCAAGACCTGCATGCTAGATGACCAGATGACCCTAGGACAGCAAGTTGAATTTGAATGATCCGAAATGGAGTTTCTGCGGCTCGGGCAGCCAGTCAAATTCACCTGACATGAAATACGTTTGGGGTGTCACCTTGTTTTGGACCACGGCATGTTCTCAGTAAGCGTTGACTGAAATGTTTGCCATCAATGGTTTCTCAGAAAAGTGATCATCTAAAACCCCAAAGACAGATGATTTTTGTGAGCCCCAGAGAGACCTGGCCCAATGAGTAAACTATGGTAAACTGATCCATTTATATCCATTTGTCCGGGTCGGAACGCCTGGAAGGCTTCCCGAGTTGAACCCCCATTTATGTCAGCACTTCCCATTGTTTTCACTTTCCTGCAGTTCTTGGTCGATCCAAAGAGGATCAACGCACACCTGGGCGACCCAGCTGTTGAGCAGCACGCTGCATGCACGTCCGCGCGACCCGCGTCCGCTGCTGCCGCAGGCTGGTTGAACGATACCAAGTTCGCGCCCCACGGGAACTCCGGCAACGGTGCGCCCGTCTTTTTGTCCGAAGAAGGCGACATGTCGACCCGACGGTGGGTGCGATCGGTCGCGCGGGATCCAACGGTGCGATGGGTCGGTGGGTCGGTGTCGGTGTGGCGAAAAGGAGCAACACACCGGCGGCGGGTGTTTCGTCTGGTGAAAGGAAGCAATGAAAGCGGGGCCTCTTTAAAGAATGTCCACCTATTCGATGAAACAGGGGACCGCCCCCCACCCTGTTCCACTCCTAAATTGAGGCTGTATTGTGGAGGGTAGATTTTTCTGGAATGGAGATGAAAGGGTGGATTTGGAGTTGTTGACGATTTTTGAGTAAGAGCATTAGACAGAATGTTCACTAGAAGGGTTGTAATATCGCGATTTACAGTTATGTAATGAAGACGACAAGAATCAAAGAATCCAACAAGAGGAATCTAGTTGCAACACACAATTAATAAAGATAAGCAAATTCATGAAAATTCCACAGGACACCATTCCAACATGAACAGGAATCGGAATAGGGCAATTATCAGTTCCCATTGAGGCAGCCATGATAAATCCAAGCTGGGCACCAGAAATATACGTTGCTTTGCCCGTCTTTCTTGGGGCATTTGCGTGCGAACCCATGTCCACCGCGTTTGCGGGGCGTATGGAACGGACAGCTGCACCGGGCTGCACCTCAACCAGTGCAACAGAGCCAAGAAAAGTTATGTTTTCAGCAGACCGGCGGACTGATACAATTAGATGGGGGCCATATATGAACCACCGACATTGGGGGGCCCTTGCGGCATCTACTCTGAAACCACCGTATATAGGTTGCTTGCCCTTCAATCGCAGTTTCCAAGTGGAGTGTGAGCACTAAACTAAACCATTGGTCCTTGACTCCTAAAGAGAACACAAACCACACTAGAGTCTCCTGCCCCATACAGTCCAAGCGTAATCTATTCACTACTTATTTTGGACTCACTACTGTGTAGGTCGCCGGAGCTTCCAGTCAATCAGAGGTAGATCTGGAGCAAAATTTGTGTGGAATCCCTTCTTCCTGGGCCACTCAAATGGGTGTGTATTAAACTATTATGGGGACCCAGGCAACGGCCAAGGTTTGCGAAATGGATCAGTCTACCCAGCCAGGGCCAGGGGGTTCGACTTATTAAATACACACATATGGGGCTTCACATCGTTGGCGTTTTTTTTACAACTTGACCGAAAACCTCTGAGGGTAAACTCCTCAATGCTGGTCATGCTGGTCACCACGCCGCAGCGCACCGAAAATGGATCCACTTCGATCGAACGAACTGAAAGAACTGAAGAAGGCCAAACGACGAACGACTCAGTCTTTCGCCTGGCAGCATTTGTGCAATGTATGCCACACAAGTAGTGCTGCACAAGTGTTACCTTCAATGAACAAGTTGTTGTGTTTGTGATGTTTATTCTATTGTTTGATGGCTTAGTTCTCTTGGTGCTGTCTAAGGCCTACACCAATCCTCCTGGGTCTTCTCACAGCACTTTGCAATATGAAAAAACACGCCCCGAAACCGATGAGCTATCCTCATTCCAGTCTTGTGGGAATGGCTGTCGAATGGACTCGGCCAAAACATCCAAAACCACAGCAGAACGACATCGATCCTGACTAAACGACAACGATCAAGTCTCGATCCTAAGTAGATCCGGGTGCACTAAGGTTCCCACTTGTATCATGGTCCAAGTAGATCCGGGTGGTGTCTACGCATGTCTACGCTTCTTTCCCACGGATGCAGGTGCTGTCTACTTGTATCATGGTCCTTGTGAAGCGGGGGGGCAGCGGCATTCGGTGGTTTCTGCCACTCGGATCCAGTGGACATAGACCGACACAGACCGACATGCCGGCTGCTGTGTCAGCCGCAGCAGACGGGCACAAGGAACTTGGTTCGTCCCTCGACGGTCCGTGAACGACCTCATGTTAGTCGTCAGGTGTACCAGTCGGTGTACAGGGGTACCAGCCTGGACCCAGGTGCTTTGAAGAACGAGAGACCAAAAAGCTTCGTACCGGTTCGGTACGACTGCACCATTTTCTCAGAGGGTGGCTGATTTGAATCCATAGAGTGGTGATACGAACCACCAGAACAACGTAGTGTCCTGTTTCAATCAGAAGTGGAAGCAACCAACAGACGTGGTAGAGATGGATGCTTCCGTGGAGGAAGTGGTCCATTTGAGGCTGAACCCGAACGCTGATGGCCTGCCATTTAGCTTTTCGTTCATGGTTCCTGTTCATGCTGTGTTTCAACCATATTCAACCCAATGAAGATGACACCAACAGTAAGTGGGTCATTGATGGGACTTGCCGTGAAAAAAGAAACTACCCTTGCTCGATGAGAGGTACTTGCAAACGTAGTCTATGCTGCATCGGATTGCCATGACAGGCGTATAATCTTCACTTCAAATGGGGGTTGCTTGGACACAGGTGTCCTTCCAAAAAAAGCAATCAACATGTAGGTGTTCGTGGTTTGCAGGTGGCTGGAGTTTCAAACCATGTCCCAGGGAACTTCATTTTGTTGAAACCAGGTGTTTGTACGAACAAAGGCAAATTGAAGTTGAATAACAATGAAGACAGAAGAGATAGAGGGACCAGCAACGTGCTGCAAGCTGTGCGGTGCCACCAGCAACACGACATGAAGCCACCAAGAAGACCGCATCACAAACGGCTTAAGTCGACCCGAAGTGAAGTTCTTCGTTCGTTCGGCTCCCCGTCCGTGGAACTGCGTTGACATGCTTTGTGTACCTGAGTTGGGTTGATGCCAGTTGCAGTGCGGACGGGCTATTTGCTTCAACCATGTGCAATGAAGGCGGAGCCATTCATGCACCCATCCCGCACTGATATGGGACGCAATCAATTATCCGAATCCCATTCCCCCTCTCCACCCACGTGCGGTACGCGCAGCACCTTCCCAAATTCCCTTTCAAAAACTGCGACCCTCCTCCTCCTCCCCCAAAAAATGCAAAACGAGTCCAAACATCACAAATTGACCGGTCGATCCGTTTTTGCTTTTGGTTGTCCGTCCCAACCAAGGAGCCCCACCTTGTGCAATCCCGGCTACTACATGGCCTACATCACCTCGCAGGATCCGACCAGGCCACCGAGCGAGGGTTGCTGGACAATGGACTATAGGTCCTCCTCACGGGCGTCCAGCGGTCGATCACACTCGGCTGCATGTCAGATTCGTTTTTTGATCTTTCACGTGGGATGACACCAGTATGAACCCGGGGAATCTGTGCGGTTTGCATCGCACCCTTTGGGTGCTGTTTGGTCCTGTACGCTATCATATCCAACACAGAGTGTGAGCTAAGCCCCCCCCTGATACGGCCTCCGTGTCAGGAGTCTCCACCACACTGTTTTGTCGGATTCTGGTCTTGCCTTATATCTGTAGGAGCGGCATAGTCCATCACGCTGCTTGGCCCAAACCCTGCGGGGCGGTTGGGACCTCCTGTATTCTTGCAGAGGGCCTTCCCTGCTCGGTCCACGGGTACTACCCGTCTGGTCAGCGGTTAGTCCAGCCAGGTTCGTTCAGCTTGTGTGGTTTCACTTGAGGTGTTGATCCAAAGGTGCCTCCTTCGGGTAATTGGTCTCACATCGGAGCCTGTCCTTCACTGGTCCCTGTCTGCTCCTATGCTTCTGTCGCATCCTCGCCTGCTGTCTCTTTGTCGCCAGTCTCTCCAATGGTTTGGGAACTGTTGCTTGGATCTCAGCCTCTGTGCCTATTACGCCGCAGACAAGCCGGCAGGGTTTCCCGGGTTCATACTGGTGTTGACCATGTGGATGATCAAAGCGAGTCGCCGTGCAGCCCAGCGTGATTTGTCGCTGCCCGCCCGTGCGGTGCAGGAAGTCCATCATAGTTCATGAGCAGCATGTGCGCGGGATAGGGACCTACATGACACCCCCATCGGATCGCGGTAGTTTTGTTGGCACCCCTTCATTCCCATTCCACACCATGGCCCAGGTGAGGACCTTCCTATCGGGAAACCTCCTGTCATGGAGCGGACCGCCCTACCGGGGCCCCGCAAGGTTGGCCATGGAGATGGAAACTCATTGGGATTCACCTCCCCTATCCCCCGGGACGCCCACTCACATGTATGACTTCGGTTTTACCAACTTGTAGTCGCGGGATGCATGCATCAATTTGGTACCTGACTATTTGGGGTCCCTTCACCAAACTGAACTTACACCGACACTAGCGGGGGACACGTGCAACTGGTAGTGCTGCTCCGCTGTTTATTCCGATAGCCCGTTACACCCGATAGAGGTGGACGCGCCATGAATCCTGTTTCTCCAAAATGTTTACTGTATTCTAGTGTGGCTACCTCTGTCGCGCGCATCATCATCATCATCATCATCATCATCATCATCATCATCATCATCA